ATGAAGCTGCCTGCAGTGCGTTGCCGTAGAGTCCACCCTCCGCGTTGATGTCGGCCTTGTTGTCGAGCAGCATCTTGACTATCTGCTCGTAGCCTCCGTATGAAGCTGCCTGCAGTGCGTTGCCGTACTCTCCGCCCTGCGCGTTAACGTCGGAACCCTTTTCGATTAGCATTCTTGCAATATTATTAAGTCCGATAAGCGCTATGTAGTAAAGGGGAGTGGCTCTGCCTTTTAAAGTGACGTTAAAGTCTGGGTCTCGCCAAGCTACATCTGGATTGAATAACTGCATCCAGGCGAGATAGGCAGGATTTTCGTTCGATAGCAGATCCACCGCAATCTCACTTATTCCTTCTTTCTCCTTCCCTGACCTCTGAACATGTCTGCTCCAGAATTCGGCGGAGTATCTTGCGAGCCCATAGTTGTTAAGGGTTCCCTGTGAAAGAATTCCTGGTTGGCGAAACTGTAGAAGATACTTCAAGCAACCTCTAGATATAGTGTCGTGGCATTCAACCTCTTGCATGCTGTACTGCTTTACCTGGCCGTGCTTGATCCGGTCTGAAACAAGATACTCCTGGACAGAGTAGTGTGCTAGAGCGACGATCTGTTGCGTAGACCTTAGTCTTCCTTCTGCCTTATTTGTGGTCACAGTAACTAGACTGGAGCATATGCTTAGCACATCCATCGCATCCTCTAGCATTTCATCGCGGTCAAACGCCGGGTCGCGCGTTACGTCAATGGCAACGACTTCAGCAACCTCTTCAACGGACAGTGGCCGCGCAGAGAACGTTAGCCACCGCAAGATGCGTATTGCGTATTCAGAGTCTTCTTCGCTTATAGTAGAGAGAATGCGGTCATACGTCTGGTCCAGTGTTTTTGGCAAAGTAGTGAGTGACTTGCGCAGCATTGCTCGATTACGACACTTCCCCAATGTGTCAAGCTGACACACAGCCCATCGGAACCTATACTAACGTCAGCCTATGCCCTATAGAAATTTAAATAAATATACATACATCCCGCGAGCTCCGTGCATTAGTACACCCTCAATCTCTTGCCTAATAGCATCGTCTTTGTTCCACTTTGCCAGACCCTTATCGTTAGATAGCCTTTGTTGAACGTATCGTTGTATGTCCTTGTCCACGACGTCCATCTGAAGACAGACAATGTCCTCTTGCATGATAAAGGTTTCTAAAGAGCTCTCAATATTCCGCTCTTTGCGGCTAGTCATGAGCAAATGCGCATTATCAAGCTGCCACCCAGCCACTATTTCAAGCATGTCTATCAGTTCTGAGCGCTGTGTACATTCGTCGAGAGCATCAAGAACAATATAGACCTGCGTAAACTCCTGTAGCGTTAGCCGTACTACTTCTAGTAACGCATGTATTGATGGATATCTTTGTCCATTCTTGCAGGATGTAAACAATGCGTCAATACCTCTAGGTATTGCGACTGTACGCTGCAGGAGCTGGCAGAGCAACGAGCGGATCATCAGCTCTGGATCTTGTTTCTGTGCATCGTTGAAGTCGAAGTAGAAGTATGCAGTCACCATACTGGTGTCATCACCGCAGTGCTGCAGTAAATCCTTGATGATGGTAGAGCTCAAGATCGTCTTTCCACATCCGGGGATCCCATACAGCCAGAGCCGCGATGCTGCATTCGCCTTCCATCTCGCAAATTGCTCGCCCTCTACCAGCCAGAGTCCAGTCTCAGCCTGCCGCTGCCTATGCGCTTTGTGGTAGTTTGTGGATGGGTCAGGCGCCGACAGCCAGCTGCAGATCTTGCCAAGCCTCTCTTCTTGGCCTCGGCTGCGGCTCTTCGTGTTTTTCGCAGAAGCGCCTGCTATCTCCTCAGAAGTCTCTTCTATCTCCTTCTTTAGTCGCTTCAACGCCTTCTCTTTGCCTTCGCCGTAGATCAGCGGCAAGTGACAGTCGAAAATGCCTAAAAGGCAGTATGCGCCGTCTTCTTCGCGCGTCGTCTGGCGCTTTTCCGCCCAAGAGAGACGCTCAGATATGGTGAACTCGGATAAGCGGCTTCCTTGGAGAGCTTTAACGGGTATTTTTGTGATCTCATGAATGACGTGCCTAAGTGACTCCTTGTCACCCAGTCGCCTTCCTTTCCTAGAGAAGAACTCGACCGATTTTGGAGCTAGGAGTTCCTGGAGCGTCCAGCCTCGGGAGAACCACCTACTCTGCTTAAAGGCCGACTCGCCATCTCCATCCAGAGTGTCCTGCTCGACGTCCGAAAGGTAGACGTAACATCTTCCTGCGTTCTGGTACCAGCGGAACATGGAGTTGATCGCTTCCTGAAGCTCAGCGCTGTTTGACTTGTCGATACAGCAGGTGTCGACCCAGAAGTAGTTCAGACCATCCTGTTCAGCCTGCTGTGCGCAGAAGCGAAGCTTCCGATATCCTTCATTGCGCTGACTATCTCTTTCTTTCGCGTTGTCAATGCTCTTTAAATCGTCGAAAGTCACTTCGTGTTCGTCTTTCCAGGTGTGCGAGAGGATCGCATAGTTAGGAACCTCCTTGTTGCTGATATGGTTCTTGGTCCAATTAAGCCTACCATCGCTTGTAGTATATAGTAGTCGCATAGCGTCGTGGGTATGTCTTCATAACGAGCGATGGAAGGGATTTCGCAGCATCGAGGAAGGCTACACGCATCGATCGCACACAGCGGTTCGGTGACACTGAGTATTCGAAGTATCGAGTTCCGTGAGTGCAAGTGGAAGCAGGAAGCGATTAACTGAGTTCGAGAAATGGACAGAATAGTGACAAGTTGTGGTGTAGAAAGGTGGTACCTAAGTTGGCTGTCACTCGAACACTGAGAGCGGGGGCTGCAGCCTGCCGTGGCGAGGCTGAGGCAGGGTTGACAGATCATGATCGCGCGAAGCAAGCAGTCCTTAGCCACGACCGCAACTAAGGAGGCACTGCTCGCCTTTGAACGTGATACATTATTGAAGTGAGTACTATAGTTAGTAAGTGTAAACGCAAGGTTCGCCCCCGGCCACAATTTCTACGGCATTTGTGAGGAAGGCATCTATGCAACGCCCTCGCCCCAAAACTCGCAACTTGGGTGTCAGCACGCGGCGCGACAATAACGGCCACCATCTCTATGTGACAAATGAATTTCGCAGCGCATCCGGCGCGCCACAAGTATACGTGTCTCATCTGAACAGTTTTCGCGAAAGACGATGAGGTGTACAGTAGCGGTGGGGTGACAATGAGTACATCAATAGTTACGACAGCAAGTGCAACATCATGATAGCGTCAACAATTACGCTGGTATAAGGGAAGGCTCTTCTCCTCTGCCGCAGCTATGACATCGAGCGGCTCTGTCTCATAAAGGCTGTTCAATGACAGGCTCCAGCCCACCCGAGGCTGTCTCAAGCTCACCCTCCCTCCACATCTATTGATATCATGTTCTGGTCCCTCCGTCAATACATCCGCGCCACTGGGGCCTTCTACGGCCTTGCAGCGTTAGTTGCCGCTAGCGCTTCGTCTACCCGCATCACTTTGCTCTCAGACACTGGCAGACCCCCTTCTGCCTCTAGCCGAGGACCCTTGCGCTTAGGACCTCGCCGCCTTTTCCTGGCGGCAGCTTCGTCCTTGGCAGCACGCTTTATTCTCGCCTCTTCAAGATCCTCGAAGCTCATCACCTTCGCCTTTCCTAACACGACTAATCTAATTGATCGACGAGTCTTGGCTTCGCTATTAATTTTAAAGAGAAATTGGTTGTAGGCTTTTAGGAGGGTTCGCTCGGTAAACGATATCTAGGCAGCATTTACGAGTTTCTGTATGCGCCTCCTCGTCTCGTCAGGTACATTGCTGTCTTGCTTAATTATATCGTGCAGTGATGTAAGTGCTTCCGCTATTACCGGTGTGACTGGTATCATAGGCATCTGAAGCATTGCGTCCAGGATACCAGTGCTCGCAATGGTGTTTCCTGGTATGGCAATCTCACCTAGAGGTTTCGGGATATCTTTCAACACTCTATCTGGATTGAAAGGGTATAGGCCGGTCGCAGCCCACCCAGACCTGATATTCCTCTTCGTCAGCACCCTGTCCCTAGCAGGACTGTACAGATAAGTGAAGTGCTCTTTGCTGACTATATCTATGCCTCTACGATTGAGTCATTTAACCTAATCACGGTATGCTGTCTTCAACGGTGCGAAGGGCCCGACATCATAGGATTGTAACTTATGGGATATGTGAGAGGGCAAACGACATAAGATGATGTTATTAGTGAGACAAAACCCCAGAATCTCTAGCGTTTCATGGCTTCTTATGTAAGGTCTAGCTATAGGCAATAGTGTTTGCTTCACGCTAGGATTGATAGTGAAAGGATGACTCGATGGCATTGAGTGAATAATATTTGACTTCCCTGAAGCCGGTGTGCGGCGCGGGTTATGCGCAGCCAATTCGCTTGGCACGTTAGGACCTTATCAGGGTGCATCCTCGTCGCAGCTTCCAGCACTGCAGACAGAGTGCTGAAAGCATGAGCAAACTTGCTATAATATTACTATCTAATCTTGGCGATAGAATTTCCTACAACTGAAGTATACATACCGATTGGTTTGGACCTGATAGGATGGTGGGTCGCAGAGTGGTGCTGCTTGAAGGATTTTGTGGTTCTGCGTGGTGGGATGTTCTAACCGTAGGGAGGGAGGTTACGTCGGGTTTTGCGAGATACAACCCGAATTCTGGACTTGCATATATTGCTATCGGGACGAGAGGAGTCTATGGACTCAGCTTCGTCAAAGCGACCCGCTATCCATCTGTCAGACGAGGAATCTCGCAAGGATATCCAGACGTTCATCCGATGGAAGACAAATGTGATGTTGATGGCCCACTGACATCGAGCTCACTTCTTCTAAGCACGATAAGCGAGGAATTGAACGAGAAAGTCCATAATATGTAGGCACATCTCTGCATCGTGACACTTCCTATGGGACCTGAGTACTGAACGAGATTAGGATTTTGTGGGTCAGCCTTCAAATAGATGCCATATGGGCATGAAAAGATGACGAGGCTATACAAAGAGCACTGAATGACTTACCGAAAGACCTGACTACAACATACTACCGTTGTGTTGATCGACTCGACGTGCCATTAGGGCATAAGGTGCTTTCATCTGTATGCGCCACACTCAACGCATTTTCGGTAGAGAAACTTCAGGAGATGCTAGCGGTTGCAGTCCTGAGGAGCTCGAAAGTTTGGAGTTCTCCGCGATGCGTCTTGCCGCAAAGGTGGGATTCGTGGAGTTGATCAATTCTTACCTTGACGCTGGCTGGTTCCAAAAAGCCCGGATGACGGACCCTGAGCATCCCGTCTACTCAATTTTAAAATTTGCAGTCGAGCATGATCGGCAAGAATGTGTCCTCAGCCTGTGTTCGGACGAAAGTCTGTTGACAAGAAAAGAGATTTATTATGCCCTAATCATTGCTTGCTACCACGGCCATTGTGACACTATCACGGCATTACTCGATACTTGCGGTGCTCCTCTTGAGTTTCCCCGTCGGGATCATCGTTTGCAGCCGGAGGAATTACCGCGTGAGCCTTTGGAAGTGGCGGTGAAAGAAGGTCATGCGGATGCTGTTTGCATATTATTGGAACACGGAGCTAGCCTGCCGCGAACTGTATCAGTAGGAGCACCGCTTTTACATCGCGCAAGTTCGGCAGGCTCTGTGGCAATCTTACGGAAGCTCTTAGCAGAATCACCCGCGTCGAAGATCAACCAGACTCACGCAGGCGATACGCCAATCATGTTAGCTGCTGCGAGATACAACGACGCGACCGTGAGCTACCTGCTCGAAGCTGGCGCTCAACTCGACAGCACGAAGCTCGAGTCAACAACGGAACTGCTGTACGCCTGTGACGAGAAGCCCTACCATGTGAATCGGGCGGCTCAGGAGAAATCAGTTCAGCTCCTATGCAAGCATGGAGCTGACGTCAATGTCACAACTTGGGATGGCAAGACTCCATTCTTGCTGGCAGCTGCAAACTTGAACTTGGGACTGATGCGTCTGCTGGTTGCTCATGGGACTGCTATGACGGCACAGGATATGGAAGGTACGAATGCTTTGACTCTCGCAGGGAGGAAAGTGGGGTACAATGGAGAGTCCAGGAAAGATGTCATCAAGTTTTTTGGTCAGACTGAATATTGAGCTGCAGGGTTACATGCTGGAAGTATCTGAATTGGAAGCTATTCGACACGTCTATTGATTGGTGTGGCCTAGATCCAAGTGCGAGAGCCAACAATTTGGAAAGCCAATCGCCAGCTGGGGCTGTGTCTAGCAACATACCTCGAGGCGTAAAGAGTATGGATGAGTCAGTGAGCCTACATCTGCATAGGGAGTGTACTGTGCTGATTTTCATTGTAATTATTATCAGCTATCCCTTGAGCGGCCTCTCTCTGAAATACAATTGGCACAAGAGTCAGCTTGTTCGCACCCATAGAAGACATGACATTGGATTTATCCTATTATCAGAACTATGCTGTGACGGGCGCTACGCCATGCCACGATAACTCAGATATCCATATGCCCCCCAGATCTTGCATCGCGAACCCAAAACATCTAGTACCGCGATAAAGGTTTCCAAAGCCTTTCCCAGGACGCAGAAACTGCTGATTGCAAAACGTAACTAGCCAAACCCAAACAGATAGCCACCCATTACAAGCCGTAAGAAGACATGCGTAGTCATACAAACCGGCGAAGCTCCATTGCTCAGAAGGAATAACCATATGACAGCATATAACAAGCCCAGCGCAACGCCTATTGAACCCAAAACACCCACCAGATCTCCAACAGCATAACTAAATCCCAGCCCTCTCGCCCTCTTCATCCTAAAATTATTACGACCATCCGCATTCCCTCCCTTCACGCCCTCCTACGACCTCCACCCAAACCTCCGCCCCCTCTTGCCCCTACTCGGAATATTCGACTTGAAGCTATTCCAGCTATTCCTCCTCTCATCCCAATCACTCATCTGGCCGACCATGAAGTCCCAGCTCCGGCTCTCATGCCCCCTCGTCTCATCCTCCCTTGCGCACATCTCCCTGTACACCCTCGACCGCCTTGCACGACCCGCTGCTTCCGCGCCAACCAGGTCCGGATCCTCGAGGGGGGAGAGGGGCGCGATTTGCACGGGGTACGCAGCAGAGTCCGGGGAAGACGGGGAGGAGGATGACCGCGGGGTGCTGGGGTCCATGGATGGAGAGGGCGAAGGCGGAGGTACGGCCGACAGCGAATTCAGCATGCCCTCGACCTCCCTCCGCGCCTGATCCGTCCGCCGCCGCGCAACTGCGCTGCACACCTTCGCGTTGACCGTCCGCGTGATATTAAAGTCCGAGTTACTCCCCCCAGCGCGATTCCTCAGCTCGGGGGCGAAACCCGGCGCGTACACGCGGGGCGCGGGGAGCCCAATGGTCTCTTGGCCCGGGGATAAAGGCGGGAGCAACGACATCGGCGTGCGGTAGGAGCGGTAGGTAGGTGTGTCGGAGACGTAGGAGGGAGCTGCTGAGCGGATGGAGGCGGTGTCGGGGTCAGTTCTGGAGTAGAGAGGGAGGGGCTCGGGGTCGGGCGGGCGGACGTCGAGAAGGGTTGACATTGTGGTGTGTTGTGTGAGGGACGGCGGGTTGGCGGGGTCGTACAAGCTGTGCGTAGTGGATCTAAAGCTGTGGTTGCGCTTGTAAGGTGATTATTACGGTGGGCAGTGTCGCAATGGATGTGGTTGAGACAGCAGGCACACCGAGCTAGACGCTAGAGTGGCGGGAGCAGGGCAACTGAGGTTCTGACAGGGCGACGCCTTCGTTATTAACTGTCGCGCGTCGGGCACGCCTGCGCCGAGCAGGTACCAGCCATGGGTTTGGGTCAGCCCCGAGTCCGAGGAGAGCCTGCATGGTTACGCACGTCCGCAGGCCCAGCGAGGCTTTGCATGAGGGCGTGTAAGTGGTGGAGGCATCGCGCGCGGTGACAAACATTGGGTGCCGCTGCATCGGATGCCCCGCATTCGTCATGCGTTCAATTTCCCCATCCATAACCCCTTTATCGATAAGAACAACCAAGAAATTGAAGTCTTATGCAATGCTCACGTTGCGCTGTCCAAACAGGTGTGCCAAGTGTGATGCAAAAGTCAATCTTCATTTCGCGGCGCCAAACATGGCTGAGACACATGTGTATGAACTACAAAGGATATTCCGCCGCCGTGGCAAAGGGTATAAGTGTGCAAACGCCGGCAAACAAGCAACGCCGTATGGCTGAGAAAGACCAGAGTCGCATAAGAAAAGTCGGCCGTATGCTGTTACATGGATGTTACGGAGCTGATCGCAAGCTTCAAAATGCCCCCCACCTGGAGCTACCGCCTCGAATCAGAGAGAACTGAGAACATTCAGTCCACGCGTGGCAAGCATGCAACACGCGGGTTTGGAGCGATCGATTCCCTACCTGGGGAATAGAGGCATGCGGTTTGCGTGAAAGCTGTCATTCACGTCGTCATCGTCCTCGTCCTCGTCCATGTATTCGTCTTCAATTTCGAACTTGCTGCCCAGGGCCTCACGAGCTTCCCGAAGCATGGCGCTCATCTGAGAACTCATCCTTCGCATACGAGCGTCGTCTTCAACCTCTTCTCGTCGCAACTTGTTGACAAGTCGCTGGCTCTCTGGGGGTAACGGACTCTTCTTCTTAGATGACTTGTCGTTGGATAAGACCGGTGAACCGTAGCTTTGGCGGCTGTATGATCGCACATGGCCTGGCGACTGAGGGTTGGTGCTCGCGGAGCCGTAAAACGAGGTCCTGTCCATCGTCGAGCGCCGAGAGACCGGAATCAACGATGGCCGCTTGTGCGCAGGCGTTGCCATGTTCACCCTGGAAACAGGCCGAGGGATTTGCGAAGGTGACCTGGTATGACTTGGCACTCTTCGCGCAGCTATACGTGGGGTGGAAGGCTGCGACACCATATCCCCTTGATTGTTCACGACGACCCAGCTCTCGGCCGTGCGCTGCCTCTTTGCTCCCGGTCGCTCCTCTCTCACCGAGTCTATTGACTCGACGCCGTAGTCGTTGTCCCGGCAGTTCGTCGGTGCAATCTGCTGGATGGTACCGTTCGGCAAGCTGGTGTCATCCTCGTGTAACCCCAGTTTTGCCGCCACTTCTTCATTGTCGAACGAATATGCCTGACCCCCTCCAGCTTGAAATCCGCGAAACGGCACGGAGCAGAACTGATACAGCTTGCCGGCTACACCACCCACGATGTTCATCAGCTGATTCAGCATCCGTGGCTTCGCGCTGGGTGGTGTGACTGGGCGCTCATCAGGCTGGAGGTGCGGAGGTATGCCGTAGTGGGGACTTGTAGGCGTTGACCACATCTCGCGCTGTTTCTCGAGGTGGAAGTAGTCGTCCAAGTTCCCGTTTTGCCTAGCGAACCGGTCCGTAACCTCCACCCCTCCAGCCAACTCGTATCGGTCGTTTGCCAACGGCGGAGGACTCCTGAGCGAGGAGCGAGAGTAACTTTGCGAGTACGACCAGGGACTGTTGTGTTGTGGATTGGCGGTGAAGGTGAAGGCACTGCTTTGCAGGGGGATTTCGTCGTAGCGCGAGCGCTTTCTGGTCGCGTGGTCGTCGTCGGTCACCTGGAGACCGGAGGTTTCAGAAGAGGCGGTCGGAAATCGGGGAACCGGCTCGTACAGGCGTGGTCGCGAGTGGCACCGCTGGTGCGGGGATGGGGAGAAGAGACCGGGCATGTTGCGCTGTTGTAGGGTGCTGTTTGCGATGCGATTTGGTAGAAAGAGTCCTTGTAGCGCTGCCCGCGAAAGGGCAGCAAGGGCCCTACGGAGTCGGGGGTCAACACAGCGGGCTCGAGCGACACAGCGGCAGCCGGCGCAGATTTAGAGCTGCATGCTGGCGTTGGGGGTGAGAGGCTTCTGTGGGAAATGTTGGGAGGTGATGGCGTTTGTTTGCGTTGCGCTTGCCCCGGCGACGCCAAACGACCAATCACGTGCAACCAAAACGCTAGGACCGGATCTCAAATGGCGGTCAATCGCTTGCGACGTAACAACAGTACCAACGTCCATTGAAACATGTCTGTCAAGTAATCCCACGCCCAGCACATCCCGACAGCTATCCAGGTATCGGAAATACGCCGCCGCAGTAGTGAACCGAACGCCATGCTATGCTTACAACCATGTTCCTAACCGCTACGCCCGTGCGATCCACCCACTGTGTACGAAGAAGTCAAATATTTGCTTCGTTTTTCGTTCGTCAATCTTGGCGATCTCGATGGCAGTCCGTTTCTTAAGCGAACCACCCTGTTTCATCGCCTCTCGGATCAAGTTCTCTTTGATCACAAAGTAAGGTTTTGGTAAGATGCGAAGAAGCCGACAGAGTTCTGTCTCTTCCGGCGTGAGGAGCTGCAGATCCGATGCTACTTCCTTCCCAAACTTCAATGGCACCGTGTTAGGGAGAGCCTTCGGTACGAACTTAGTCTTCGAATGCTGCGGTGTTAGCACGCCGTTGGTTCCGTTTGGCTGGTCCGGAGGGGGCGTCGAAAGACCGTTCTTCTGGCGTAGGTGAAGAGGCAGTTCAGATGCCGTGAGTGCTGATGTCGCTGAAGGTGTCTCAAAAGGAGGCGTAGGCTTGCTCATTCGGTTTGACGCGAGGCGATCAAATTGGCCCAACGGAGGTGCACGGGACTGCCGTTGCTGTTTCTCTTGCTCATATTTCTCGCCCTGTTTGAGATCTGTGATCTGGTGGTTCCTCCAGTCCTGCAGTTGTGATATGGCCTGCCGCAAGCTGTGCTCGTATATGAGCCCATCGCAGAACTTTTCAAAGTCGTCGTGCTTCATCATTCGGGCGAAAGGCTTCGCTTTGTTAAGAAGATCCCTTTCTTCTTTCGTTCGCTTTTTGTCGGCAGCGGCATTCTTCCGGTATTCCAGGAGCTTATGTTCAAAGATGACCTTCTTGCGCTCGACTCGTGAGTCCAGCTTGGAGTTGTAGATCTCCATGATGGTCATTTTAAGTTCCATCTCTGGCTCGATTTCGCCTGTCCGAGGGTTGACGCCATCCCCGGGTTCGAACTGCATGTGCTGCACGGCTTCTTCTGCCTCGTTGAAGTACTCCGTCTCGAATTCCAACCGACCAGGCATGTATCCCTGCACCTCGTGACATGCCGGTACACTGGCAGTTGGTTTCTGCTTCGGCGTGGCGGGCGGCGCATTCTGTGCGTCTTCCTTCCTCTGTTCTATCCTCCTCTTTTTGTTGGCTTGGAACACGTCTCGCGGTATCCGGTCGCTGAGCTCCGTGTTCTCTGGACTGGCTCTCTCTGGCAAGGGGAACTTGGAGCTATTGATGTATGTGTTTACGTAGTGGTCGCGTACTTCGTCCTTGGATCTGAACCCGCCAATGTGATCTGCTATGTCGGCCCATGACCCTAGGCCGTATGTTTCTGCCCCTTCGAGGAGGGCTAGTTCCTCATCCGCACCCCAATCTTCGGTAAATATTGGTATTGAGTGCTGTTCAATTACTTGGTATGAATGTGTCTTCGGGTCGTGATCGCGGGAGAACTTGGCGTCAGAGAAGCAGGGTACGCAGAGGTCGTACTCGTGGCAGACATCGCTGGCGCAGCGTATGCGCACCTGTGAGAGTCAATGCTATACTTTTATGTGATCTCTGTCCAAGCGGGCATCTGGTGTAGTATGCGCCTGCAGCCCGGGGGCTTACCGTCGATGTTATGTCCGATGAGCACACGTCGCACACGTACTTGACTCCGCCTTCGGTGCCCCGCGACGCGGTCTTCTTCTTGATCAGGCCCATATCAGCTGTTTAGCAGCTTGCGCGTGGGCCAAGCAGCGAGGGAGCGGGTGCAGTTGCCACGCTGGGCGGCCGGCTGGAGCCCGGCGGAGGGCGTGGCTGTGTATGTTTCAACGCGTTTGCGGGTACGCAAAACAGCTCAGCACTGCGGCTCGGCCAGGTGAATGCAGCGTGGTGAGTGGATATGACGTCGCAGTGGCGGGCGTGCTGTCGCAAGCTGGCGATGTAACTCTGGGTCGGGGTGGCGGCGCGGGCGGGCGGCTGGGTCGCGATAGACAGGCTTTGGCGTCACGGAATCGCTACAGGCTCCGATGAGAGGCGTCGGCGCCGCTTCACGACTCACGAGGTGCTGTCAAACGGCTAGCTGCGTCGAGGGACCAGCCGCGAGCCTGTGCGTTGCTGAGGGAGAGACAGACAGCCGCCGCTTGGCGCGAGCCTGAGACGCTGGAGATTGATCCCCACTGCCCTCCCCAAACACATTCGAGGACCGCGTTCGCTGTGAAAAGGAGTCGGCCTTCGCCACTGCACACACGCAACATAACTCTCGGCACCCGCCAACGCTGCTGCACCCCGTGACCCCATATTTTCGAACGCACCTCACAACCGACCGACCGTCTGCCCCCCGCCTCTTGCGTACCTTGTCCCTCTCTCCGAGGACCCTCTTCCCTCTCCAACACCGGCATCTGAGCAGCGAACCAGCCCGCCGCCGCAACCATGAGCTGGAAACTAACCAAGAGTGCGTCCGCCCGCCCGGATGCTGCAGTCCTTCTCTAACCATGCGCAGAACTCAAGGAGACCCACCTTGCGCCGCTCGCCAACACCTTTAGTCGCTCGTCCTCCACATCTACCATTGTTGGCGGCGAGCAGACGCCCAAGGCCACGAGCAGCACTGCGCTGTCAGACTCAAAAGACCCCAATGGCATCGGTGCGTAGCTGCGAGCCTTCCTGCTTGCCAACACTGCTGACCAAGCCCAGCCGCCTCCGAAGCAAATGCGACCCCTCCTCCACCGCCTCTCCGCCCTGGTATCTTGATAGTTACCCTCCATGAGGGCAAGGGCTTCTCGCTCCCGCCCGGCGCAGAGCAGCATTTCCAGGGCGGCGGACACCATCAGGGTTCGCTATCGCAAGGCGGCGGTTTCTCAGTGGCCGGGTCTATGCGTCCTGGTTCGTCATCACGGAATCAAGTCGCCGGCTCGTACAGCTCGAATAGACCGCAGTCCGCTGCTGGCAGCATCAACGCGGTCCCCACCATCCATGGACGCTACTCATCCAAATACCTACCCTACGCACTAGTCGATTTCGATAAGCAGCAGGTCTTCATCAATGCGGTTTCAGGAACTCCTGAAAACCCGCTGTGGGCGGGAGGAAACACGCAGTACAAGTTCGATGTGTCTCGAACTACAGATATGAGCGTATCCCTATACATTCGCAACCCCTCCGCACCGCCAAACGCAGGCCGAGCCGACGACATCTTCATCGGGAAGTGCCAGGTCCGTCCGAGGTTTGAAGAGTCACAAGCTGCTGACGCGGCTGCGAAGAAGGAGACTGGCACGGGTCAAATCGGTGCTGAGTGGTTGGAGCTTCAATTTGGCACTGGTTCCATGAAAGTTGGCGTGAACTTTGTAGAAACCCTAAAAGATAAGCTCTCTATCGATGACTTTGACTTGCTCAAGGTCGTTGGTAAAGGTAGTTTCGGCAAGGTCATGCAGGTCATGTATGTATTGACACACCGTAGACTTCGCACATGCTAACAGCTTGCAGGAAAAAGGACACGCATCGAATCTATGCCCTCAAGACCATCCGCAAGGCGCACATCATTTCCCGCTCCGAAGTCGCGCACACCTTAGCAGAGCGTTCCGTTCTTGCCCAGATCAACAACCCGTTCATCGTGCCACTCAAATTCTCTTTCCAGTCGCCTGAGAAGCTGTACTTTGTTCTCGCATTCGTGAACGGAGGCGAGCTCTTCCACCACCTACAGAAGGAACAGCGTTTCGACATTAATCGTGCTCGATTCTACGCAGCAGAACTTCTGTGCGCCTTGGAATGCTTGCACGGTTTCAATGTCATTTACCGAGACTTGAAGCCCGAGAACATCCTTCTGGATTACACTGGTCACATCGCGTTGTGTGATTTCGGTCTTTGCAAGCTCGACATGAAGGATGAAGACCGGACAAACAGTAAGCACACAGCGCCCAGGTTTTCAACTTCAACTAATCTCTCCTAGCATTCTGTGGAACTCCCGAGTATCTTGCTCCTGAGCTTCTCACTGGAGCAGGCTACACGAAGACTGTCGATTGGTGGACACTTGGTGTTCTCTTGTACGAGATGTTGACAGGTCTCCCACCGTTCTACGACGAGAACACCAACGACATGTACCGCAAGATCCTCACAGAGCCTCTGCACTTCCCCGGACCAGAGATCGTGCCACCGGCTGCGCGAGACTTGCTAACTCGTCTCCTCGATCGCAACGCCGAAAAACGTCTGGGAGCCAAGGGTGCTGCAGAGATCAAGGCACACTACTTTTTCCATAGCATAGACTGGCGGAAACTTTTGGAGAGGAAGTACGAGCCCAGCTTCAAGCCCAATGTAGTAAGTCAACTCCCACACGATATTGACCCTGCATTCCTGCTGACATAACACAGGCTGATGCGAAGGACACGGACAACTTTGATGTTGAGTTCACCCGCGAAGCGCCTACCGACTCCTATGTGGATGGACCAATGCTTTCACAGACCATGCAGCAGCAGTTTGCTGGTTGGTCATACAACCGTCCCGTTGCCGGTCTTGGTGACGCGGGTGGATCGGTCAAAGATCCCTCGTTTGAGGATGCGGCACGATAGAGTTCTGCAAGGAGGGAGAGTTTGTGGATGCTTAAGCACGGAACGATCTAGACAAGGGCGTTGGGTGATTATTGGCCTTCGGCAGTACGCATCATAAATTTCGCTTAGCGAGTACCAGTCCAACTCACCGTGGCTGAGAACCTCGCCTTGCAAACACCCGAGCAGATGTTTGGCCCGGACCATTTGAGACTTAGCAAGCGTGGGGAGGCGTGGGCGTGGAACGGCATCATGAGTCAGGCGCAGCAGACAGCAACACACGCCGAGAGGCAATTCAGAATCACTTACACATCTTGGACACCACACTACGTGTATGCTGAGGGCCTTTGCAATTGGCAGCAATGCTTACTGACCAGATTACGTCGCTTGCGTGATGTGTCCAGCATCCAATTCTAGCAACGCCAAAAGCTTGACCCCTGCTCTTGCCCCTCCTTATGACGCCCGGTGCCGCCTTCTAACCCCACCAGTATCCGGCGCGCCGACTGCTTCACATTCTTTTACCTACACCTGACCGCGGAATTACACACACGCACCCCACTCCTCCGACCATTGATTAAATAGCTGTAAGTTGCCCAATTGCTGTGTTAATCGTCAACTCTGCGCCGATCCCAATCCTTCGTCGCGTTTTGTTGAGCGTCACTAAGAGCACCCCGCAGTCCTGTACCACAACAAAAACAAGCCCGAAACACACAATGCCCGGCTTCTCCCAGGCGTCGGATCTCTCGGCTTGGAATGCCCTCCAAGACCACCACTCAAAGCTTGGAAAGGACATTGTCCTAAAGGAGTACTTCAAGAAGGACCCTAAGCGATTCGAGAAGTTCTCCTTCACCTTCAAGAACGATGTCGACAACTCCGAGACACTCTTCGACTTCTCGAAGAACTTCATCACGGACGAGACGCTGAAGCTGCTTGTCGAGCTCGCAAAGGAGGCTGGCCTCGAGAAGCTGCGCGATGACATGTTCTCCGGCGACAAGGTTAACTTCACCGAGAATCGCGCTGTACTGCACGTTGCGCTCCGCAATGTCTCCAACCAGCCCATCAAGGTCGATGGCGAGAGCGTTGTCGAGGGCGTCAACGAGGTGCTCGAGCACATGAAGGAGTTCACCGAGCAGGTTCGCAGCGGCGAGTGGAAGGGATACACCGGCAAGAAGATTAAGACCATCATCAACGTTGGTATCGGTGGCTCCGATCTGTGAGTGTTTCAACCACAATCGTGGTTCATCGCACTCAAGCAACTGACTATTCTCAGCGGCCCAGTCATGGTCTCTGAAGCTTTGAAGCCATATGGCGACCGAAGCCTCACCCTCCACTTTGTTTCCAACATTGATGGTACACACATCGCCGAGGCCCTCAGGGAGTCCGACCCTGAGACCACTCTCTTCCTCATCGCATCCAAGACCTTTACAACCGCCGAGACCGTTACCAACGCCAACACCGCGAAGGACTGGTTCCTCAAGAGCGCAAAACAGGAGGACATTGCCAAGCACTTCGTTGCCCTCTCCACGAACGAGGCTGAGGTAACCAAGTTCGGTATCGACAAGAAGAACATGTTCGGTTTCTCCGACTGGGTCGGTGGACGCTACAGTGTATGGAGTGCCATCGGTCTGAGCGTTGCCCTCTACATTGGCTACGAGAACTTCCACCAGTTCCTTGCTGGTGCCCACGCCATGGACAACCACTTCAGAACTACGCCACTTGAGAAGAACATTCCAGTGATCGGCGGTCTGTTGAGCGTCTGGTACTCTGACTTCTTCGGCGCGCAAACTCACCTCGTATCTCCCTTCGACCAGTACCTACACAGATTCCCGGCCTACCTCCAGCAACTCTCCATGGAGTCGAACGGCAAGGCTATTACTCGCAGCGGCGATTACGTCAAGTACACTACCGGTCCAATCCTCTTCGGCGAGCCTGCCACGAACGCTCAGCACTCCTTCTACCAGCTGCTCCACCAGGGCACCAAGCTCATCCCGACGGATTTCATCTTGGCTGCTCAAAGCCACAACCCTGTGGACAACAACAAGCATCAGAAGATGCTGGCTTCCAACTTCTTCGCTCAGGCTGAAGCTCTGATGGTTGGCAAGACCCCTGAAGAAGTTAAGACCGAGGGCGCTGCCGACAACCTCGTGCCCCACAAGACCTTCTTGGGCAACCGACCTACGACCTCTATCCTTGCCGATAAGATTACGCCAGCAACTCTCGGTGCGCTCATCGTCTACTATGAGCACCTCACTTTCACCGAGGGTGCCATTTGGAACATCAACAGTTTCGACCAGTGGGGCGTCGAACTCGGCAAGTCGCTGGCCAAGAAGATCCTGACTGAGCTCGATGACAAGAGCGAGTCTACGGCGCACGACGCTAGCACCAGCGGCCTCATCAATGCCTTCAAGAGCAAGGCATCTTTGTAGGGCAAGAAGGAGGCGCTCTGAAGCAGTAGAAACGACGATCCGGTAACGATCATGACGAAATACGAACTGGGGAAATTACTGGCGAGCATCTGGCAGGCTTTATAGATTCAAGCTCGAGCGAGCAATCTGAAATCTGAAAGTATAAATAGACGGCCTAGAACAAGTGTGATATATGGAGTATCTAGCTTCTGAACAGCCTCTCACGATAACAAAAAGACAGGAACTAAGCTATAAGCTAATAGCTTTAAGAGCAGAGAAAGTAGTAGTAGAACCTAGGGTAACTCATGCTATTATACATCTTTATGTCTTTTAGCTGTTACTGTATCTCCAGTGTTCACCTTGTCGCGAGAGACAGCGTTGCGGAGTTGAGACGGAAGTCCTGGGTCCGTGCGTTTTGAATTATCTAGGTCCGAGTTGACAGATCGCAGTCAACACCAGGCATTGCCCCGCACGCTCACTCCGGAAGTGCGTGGCGTGCTCTTCTACTGTACACAGGTCTGATTCCAGCGTTTTGTACATACCATGTCGCGCACGATCTACTCATTGTGGCTCGCCGTTCTCGCCGTCTACTCGTTCTGGATCTCCCTGGCGCACGCGGTCTCCGGGCAAGAACCCCTGAAAGGTGCCACCGAGGGCAGAGGATATAATCTCGGAGAGCCAATTCCTGTCAGCTGCCTGAACAGGACAGTGTACGTCGCGTAAACACTAGGACTCCACAGCACGAGACTGACAAACCCCCAGCGAAACAGGCGAACACATAACCGACGCCTCAGGCCAACTCCAATATGTCCCCTTCCCGACGTGCAACGAGACTGGGCGACCCCTCGAGCTCTTCTTCGGCGTCGAGCAGTCGCTCAACTGCACGCTGGATTTCATCTCCGACCCCTTCTTCCACCTCCTCGAATTCTACATTCACAACGACGCGCCGCTGAGCTGCCGCATCCCGTCGAAACCGCTGCCGCCCTCCGTGCTAGAAAAGGACTTCCGAGAAGTGGATGAAACCACGCAGGAGGGTGCGCTGGGGAGTCAGTCAAGCTTGTATACCCCGCTGGTTGTTGCGCTGAGCGGGACACTCCAGCTGAGCCACTTGCATGTCGGAAACGACTTGAATTTGCTCGTGCACGCGAAGCCCAAGAGCGAGGACCCGGGGACTATTGATGCAGCGACTGCATATAGCATCGCTAGCCATACGCGGAACGCGAGGGTCACGATTGGGGATAGCTTGAGTCTGCACTTCAGCGTAAGGTGGTATCCGTCTACCACGCTGCCGCCTGGTTGGAGCGGGTACGGCGGACACTTGTACAAGAGCACATTTTTGTACTGCTTGTTGAGCGCGGGGGCGAGTGCGGCTATTTGTGTGGCGTACTTTAGGGGCGTGGAGCTGCCGAGGAGGCTGAAGAGATATGCAGGAGACCGCATGGGCGTAGGTAGGGGCGGTGGATATGGACTCCCGGTTGCGAATGGGAGGGGAAATGGATATGGTGGATACGGGTATGGAATCGGGACGGGGAATGGGAAGAGAATTGATTAGGGTGAAGTTCTGGGAGCGCCAGGTAGTTGTGGGATGATAAGCGGCATGGGTGCATAGCATTCAACGCAGTGTACATACGCGGGATTGAGAATGTAGGTGAATTTTGTACAATCGAGGTGTTCACCTTTCTATATGCCGGACAGTAACCACAACAATACATCAGTAATTGTACAGAATGCACGCCGACCCTACTTTTACGTGACAGGAATCGACCGTAGCACAACCATCGTCTCCATGGTATCCAATTTACCACCCCTTCCTGGTCAACTCGCTCACACGCCCCGTCACCTCCTGGAACCCTTTCTTGAACAGCGTCCTCCACCGCTCACTCTTCAGCCTCTTCCGCTTCAGCCCAGGTCGCTCGTGGAACCTCTGCTTCATCATATCGTGGCGAATCTTGTTCCTCGACACTAAACTGCTCAACATGGTGATTCCTCTCACCAGGTCACGTCCAGCCTCAGGCCTCAAGTCAACCGTCCGGCCAAACGCCGGGTTCAGCCGGGGATACACCTGCTTTTCGGGCTCGAGGGGCACAGCCGGGGCTTGGTTCGGCAGGTTGAGCGGCAGGCCGTCCATGCTCATGCTGTCGAAGTCGAGCCCTGCGGTGCGCCGCTGGAATGCGGAGCCAGACCGCGCGTTGCTGAAGTTGCTGCCGAAGGCCTTGCGCGCGGCCTCCTCTTGCGAGGTGCGTGTATATGCCGCCGGGGACTGGCGGGCGAAGGCGCGCCCGGGCATGGAGCTGAAGAGGCTGTCGATGGCTTCGCTGGTGCGTTCTGCGCTCGCGGGGACGTCGGGCTGAGCCGGGCCGTCAAAGGATAGGTCTTCTTTGGCCCGGGGCTGTGCGGCTTGGGGTGTTCTCGAGGTCGATATTGTGCGATGTGCGGTCCATGATGGTGCTACCCGTGGGAGGATTTGGGCACAGGAGAGGCGCAAGAGCGAGGTTGGGCGGAGCAGGAGCTCGCCGAGGGAGCGGGAGCTCATTGTGAATGATTCTGTGGTGTATTATGAATGCTAAGAAAGGAAAGAAATCATGGTTGGCCCGCAATTGGGAAGCTGGAAGGACGGATGGTGATGGACATGTTTCGTCGCGAGTCTCCAAATTCGGTCGGCATTTCCTCGGCCGGGTCGCGCTTGGCATTGGTGCGGGTGGAGCTTGCTTCTTCCCGTTTACAGATTTCACACCCTCGTACCTTTTTACCCGCCGCGCGCCTGCCTGGACACTCACTGATACACTCTTTAGATCGACTGGACCTGGAGTTGCGAGAGTCCACTTGGGAACGCCAAATCGAGATGTATAACAATTACGGTGGTAAGGTGTCCGCATGTTGCGACTCGACAAATGTTAACCTGAGTGACAGGCTACAACCGCCCTCCGGGCTATGGAGCCCCTCCAGGCATGGCTCCGCCTCCTGGAATGGGTACGTATGAGATGCGCGAACACGCGACCCCGTGCAAATGATTGTAGCTGACAATGTATTGCAGGTCCTCCTGGCGCAGCCGCAGCACCTCCCGGTGTAGCACCACCTGGCGTCCAGTTCAATGGCCCTCCTCAACTCGGCGGACCGCGCCCGCTGCCCCCCAACTTCCAGCCGCCCGCGGGAATGCCGAACATCAACTTTAGTGCGCCTGTCATCCGCCTCGGCACATCAGGATCGCAACGCGGCGGCAACCTAGACAGCCTTGCCGGCCGGCGCGATGGCGGGACTCCGCTCGCACGACGCGGATTGGGCATGGACGACCGAGACGGCAGGCGCGAAGACGCGAGGCCTCTACATCCTCCCACGCGCGAGGAGATTGCGCGCACCATTTTCGTCGGCAACATTCCTCCTGCGCTCGGCGATGCTGGCATCGAGAGGATCTTGGAAACGGCTGGAGCTTTCACTAGGTTCACGCGCGCAAAGGATGCGAACGACAAGGTCCAGACATTTGGTTTCGCTGAATACGGGGATGCTCAGAGCTTGCGCACTGCGACGGAGCTCTTCCAAGATGTTCAGGTTCCCACGAAGCGACAGACTCCCGGTGAAAAGAAGGATCGCAACGAGGTCGAGACAACCAAGTTGCAGATCGTGATTGACGATGCTTCAATCAAGTACGCCGAAGATTGGACCAAGAACGAGGACGAAGAACAAATGCAGTTCCGACTAGACTCTGCGAAGGAAGCCCTTGATCAAGTGCTGACGCAGCTGTTCAACCCGCCGGATACTCCACAGGCAGACGCCGAGGATGCTATGATGTTGGATATCAAGAACGAGGACAATCCTGATATTGTCCAGATTGACATCGCAGCCAGCGGCGAGGATGATCTTTCGGATATCCCCGCTGAGATGCGTGAGACCGTGGCAGCTGAGATTGCTGCTTTCCGTGATCGCTCAAACCAGCGCGATTTGGAGCGACTACGCAAAGAGGAAGAAGAAAGCGGAGGACGAAGTAGCGTGGCCGGAGGCGCCAATGGAGTCCCCGTCGGACCGCGTGCTGATAGGGGTGTTCAGGGCGCACCCAGCGGGCCCAAGGGCTCGCAGTTCCCCCGAGACTACCAGGGCAACATGAAGTTCATCAACGGCGAAGCGATGATCAACGGCGGCTTCATCAAACGCGAAGATGACGATGATTCCGCCAGTGACTCCGAGCTTGAAGAGCGCCGCAAGAAGAAGAAAAATGCCGAACTTGATAGAGAATATGAGCGGGAACTTAGAAGCTGGCTCAAGCGAGAAACCCAACAGACCTCGGCCCTTGAGCGGACACATAATGCCTTAAAGAACAAGGAGGCCGAAGAACAGAAGGCTCGCGAGGCAATGGGTGCCTATCTTAAAAACTTTGATGACGATGAAGAAGAGGCACGCAAGCACGAACTCTTCTATCGTGATCATGGCGCCTACATGCGAGAACGACAGAGGTATCGTGAGCGGGAGGAGCGGGAAGATGATATTGATCGAGACATTGAAAATAGCGAGATGGCGACGAGGCAGAAGCAGAAGGCCGATGCGCGCGACCAGGCTAATGCTTTCCTCGACGCACAAGCCGAAGAGATGATGCGTACCCGGACAACTCGCGAGCAACAGGGCAGCTTTAAGATCTCCCTCGGCGCTGCTGCAAAGAAGCTTGACCAGAAGGCCGCACCTCGTCGTACGGCTGCCGATGTCGAGAACTTGCTCGAAGACGAGGAGACTGCCGACCCGGCCGACACCACGAAACGCAAGCTCATCCCGATCAATTTCGACGCAGCAGTCCGTGCCAACCTTACTCAAGAAGAGGTCGAGGAGGCACAGAAACAGCTTGCCCGCGATATTCCGGCCGACAAGGATGGCCTTTGGAAATGGCCAGTTTCTTGGGAACATCTGCCTGATAAGAACATTGACGATGATATTAAGAGGTGGGCTGGCAACAAGGTGCTTGACCTGCTTGGTGTTCAGGAAGACATGATTGTCGATACCATTGTGGAGCATCTGCGGAGCCACAATGGTGCTCAAGCTTTGGTGGAGAACCTCGAACCGGTTAGTAACTCTGCTGCTCTATTTGCACATGCTCACTGACATTACTCAGGTTCTCGAGGACGAAGCCGAAAGCCTGGTCAAGAAGCTCTGGCGTATGGTCATTTACTACAGCGAGACGGAGAAGCGGGGTATCAAATAAGCGCTGAGTGCTCCATCTTTGCGTGTTTGAGAGGAGCGGGACATGTTTTCACGACTGCCTAGGTCATCGTTCCATGCAAGTACAGCACCAGGACAGTAGTCCGCGGCTTCTTCGTGAGCCATTTTGCTTCAAGCTGCATAATGTTCAGACCGCCAAGAGCAGTGAGTATGGCGAAAGGGCGTTCTTTTCAAGGAGATATTGATCGGGTGCAGCTTCTCTGGATCTTCTGCTCCGCCAGAGTGTATAGTAGCGTGCTAGCCAATTTGTGGGCTTGGATGGTTATGGGTACCGCGGCACTAGGTGTGTTTTACTTTCTACAAGATATACTAACTGTCAGTGTCCCTGTGCGCACTTCCCTTGGACCCAAAGAGCGTGCTTGATGTGGTATGTATCATGTGCTCGTAGTGCTCGTCCTGACCACGGGTGCGTGATCAATCAACAGCCGGCCGCGCGCAACAGCACCTCGCTCCCATGCGTCCCACGCTCTGACTCAAAGTCGAGATCTAGATCGAAGGTAGGCACCATAGAACCAAGCTTTGCGGCTCCCCGGCTTTCACAACCCCCACCACATGCTCACGTGCGGAGGCGCCCCCGTGGGCCTAGCTCCACGAATAGTGTCCGAAGCTGGAAGTTCAGCCGCACATCGGCCCTGCGCTTGCCGAGCAGCCCACCTCTCCCCCAACGGAATCTGTTTCTCCACCTATAGGCGCCCGCGTGCGGGGGTGCGGCGTCTGGACGCGCACCGCGTTGAGGGGTGCCCCTCGGCCCTTGGGCGACGGCTCGAGCTATATAGGCGTGGTGTAGGCAATTGAATTTCTCCGTGAGACATTTTACTTCTTGCGAAGGCCTCTGCTGTCCGCTGAGTGACTGCTTGATTCATACTTTCTCTTCTTTGCAGCAGAGCAGAAAATATTCCTAGACGGTCATCATGGTTACCATCACAGGCGTTGAGACGCGCGATGTGCGGTTTCCGGTGAGTTTCCACCCTTCCCTCCCTTCTTCCAATTCAAGTCCAATCGCCTCCCGATATGCGGGAGACATGAGGCTGATCAATGCGTGCAGACTTCCCTCGACAAGACGGGCTCGGATGCGATGAATGCGGCCGGCGACTACTCCGCAGCATACGCTATTCTGAAGACGGATGCGGAGTTCCAGGGGCATGGCATGGTGAGTAACTACCTTCCTTTCTGCGGTGTTTCGGTGAAAAAAGACCTGGCTGTCAATGGCATTGGGAGAACTGGTGGGGTCGGCGGCGCGCGGAGCGTATGGGAGCGTTGGGTAGTGGACGTTTTGGGAGGGTGATGCCATACTACTATCATTCCGCTCTCTTGCTTTCTTTCAGCCAAGGATTTTCTGGTTGGCAATGCTTGATAGGGTTTTTGGTCACATTGTCGCTGACGCAGAAATCAGACCTTCACAATCGGCCGCGGCAACGAGATTGTCTGCGCCGCCATCGAGCACCTCGCCGACCGCATAAAAGGCCGCACACTCGAGTCCCTCGTCGAGAACTGGGGCAAGACGTGGCGCCATCTGGTCCGTATTCCCTTCCCACTTGTCCTGCCGATTCCCATGCCCTTCCTCCGAATCCCTCCCCTTTCCGCCTCTCACAATCCACAACATGCTAAAGCAAAATTAGGTCAACGACTCCCAGCTCCGCTGGATCGGCCCTGAAAAAGGTGTCATCCACCTCGCTCTCGGCGCCGTCGTAAACGCCATCTGGGACCTGTGGGCCAAGACGCTGAACAAGCCCGTCTGGCGCATCGTCGCCGACATGACGCCCTCGGAAATTGTCAAGCTCATCGACTTCCGCTACATCACCGATGCCCTCACCCCGGAAGAGGCCCTCGAGATCCTCACCAAAGCCGAAGACGGCAAAGCCTCCCGCCTCCAGGAAGCCCTCGAAAGCAAGGCCGTCCCTGCGTACACGACCTCGGCGGGCTGGCTTGGCTACGGCCAGGACAAGATGAAGGCGCTGCTGAAGGAGACGCTGGATAAGGGGTACCGTCATTTCAAGCTCAAGGTCGGGAGTGATGTCGCGGAAGACCGGACGAGGCTGAGCATTGCGAGGGAGGTGATTGGGTTCGACAAGGGTAATGTGTTGATGGTGGATGCAAATCAGGTGTGGAGCGTGCCTGAGGCCATCGAGTACATGAAGCAGTTGGCCGAGTTCAAGCCGTGGTTCATTGAGGAGCCGACGAGCCCGGATGATGGTATGTTGGATTTAATTTTCTCCTTGGGGAGCAGCAGCCCAGTTGAGGGCGCGGTGAAAAGACCGACGAACAAGCAAGAAGCGAGCTAACGGGAGCACAGTGCTCGGACACAAGGCCGTCAGGGAAGCCTTGAAGCCGTACGGCATCGGTGTGGCAACGGGCGAGATGTGCCAGAACCGCGTCATGTTCAAGCAGTTCCTCGCCGCAGGCGCCATCGACGTATGTCAGATCGATGCGTGCCGCCTTGGCGGTGTGAACGAGGTCATTGCCGTCTTGTTGATGGCCGCGAAAGTAAGCATTCCAAACACATCCCTCGCTGAGAAAACATCTAAGTATGCCCAGTTCAATGTCCCCATCGTACCCCACAGCGGTGGTGTTGGTCTTCCCGAGTACACTCAGCATCTGTCAACCATTGACTACATCTGCGTCTCGGGTAAGAAGTCCGTCCTCGAGTATGTGGACCACCTGCACGAGCACTTCCACCACCCTTCAGAGATCAAGGAGGGCCACTATGTCACGCCTATGAGCCCCGGTTACAGTGTTGAGATGAAGCCCGAGAGCATGGACAGGTTTTCGTACCCCGGAAAGGAGGGTGTGAGCTGGTGGAAGAGCGAAGAGGCGAGACCAATTTTGGAAGGCGAGAGGATATAGAGCAATATCACGTTCAAAGCAACGGAGCTGGAGACACAACAAATGAAATCCATTCGACAAAGAGGTTTATTCGTGCAAGCTAATCTCTAGAGTAGACCTCGCGCCGACTAACTTTCAGAGCCCATAATCCATTGTACACGCCCAGGGCGATGCGGTTGTGGTTGAGAAGGCGCAGAGGATGGCACAGAGGAAAGGCTGGGACTGGGTGCTTTAGATGGAACATTGGAAGGTGCATGCGAATGAGGGCCATGAGTTGATGCCGCCAAGTCCGACATGCTGTTAAAAACGCGCGCATGCTGAGCTTGTGCAGTAGCAGGGAGCCAGCCACTGCTTGTGATTCCCTCTCGGTCCATCAAGCGCTGCATGAGGTCCTCTTGTATGACCAACAAGTGCTCGAGTGCAGCCAGCCTTGTGTCTTCTTTGGCAGAACAACAATGGATGTAGGAACGACCGGTGGGGTTGTGTTCGACGATGGCAGCGGCGATCTTGCGAGAGGAGGAGTTGCCGTAGGTAATGACATCCAGGCAGCGAGCGGGGCCGTATATTGCTTTAGCATTTGCTTCACATCGTCAGTATACTTCAGGATAATGAGGCTGCTGGCGACAAACCTAGTACTCTTGCTCTCGTGCTTTCCAGCGAGTCCTCTGAGGCAGTTTCCTGCATCCGATGTATCAGCTCGCTCGCCGTCCGTTCGAGCTTCAGACTCTCCTAAGAGCTCTTGCCGTGCTTCATGTCCTTGAATGTCTCGATCATCTTGTGTTGCGTTAGAGTCTTCACCACCGGTTACGAGAAGATTGAAAGTTGGCTCAGGCGGCTGCTGCTGCTGCTGCTGTGGCCGTTGCCTTGATCTTTCCTTGTCAGGCTCCCAATTTTTCCAGCCCAAAAGTTTCCAACCGAACCGTTTGAGCTCCACCTTCCAGGTCTTCTTCAAAGTTCTTAGCTTGAAGCGCTGGCGTAGTAGCTTGCCCTCCTTGCGTCTGCGTTGCGTCCTGAGGTACTTGTCTCTGCGCTGCCACTCGATATACGGCTTCACAAAGTCGTATTCTTCCTTTAAGTGCTCCCACCAAGGTTGCCGATGTTTTTGGTCCCACGGATGTCTGGGGAAGAGTACAACGGGATCAACGCCACACGCTGGGCACCCAGACTTGAACGGTCCACGAGGGTAATGCTGCACGGAATGAACGGTACCGACGGTGATGTGCGAATGTTGGTGATAGTGCCCGTGAGGATATGGATGATGCGGTAACACGTGAAGAGACGAGAGCCTGAGGGGACGCGTGTGAAGAGCAGGGTTGAGAGGTGGAGAAAAGGGTGGTGAGAATACGGAAATGTTAGATCGTGAGGGAATGGTGGAGAGATGGGAGCCGTAGTGTCGTGTTGAAGCCGACCTTTGTGAACGACGGGAAGTCACGCTTCCGAGGGTTCTTGTTGACCCATGCGGCGAGAGAAAGTCCTTCGAATGCCGAAGAGGACTGGGTTCCATTGGTCTGTGCATGGGGGGCGGCAGCCCTGTGAAGAGCAGTGTGGACGCGATGGTGATAGCGATACCCGAGCTGAGAATGTGGAACAGAATCTGGGACGGGCGCAAACGATCGCGGAGTGAGAGTGTGGCGTCATGCCCACGATATCTCGGAATAATAGACGTTCTTGCCTGCTTACAGGACAATCTCGTGGCTGATTATGTCTACAGCAGCTGCACACCTCGATCTCGCCCGCTCCTTCTGCTTACAGCCTTCACTCACCTCACCTCGTCAAACCCACCTTTCACTCACCGAAACGCAGAAAACGACACAATGGCACCCCATACCCTCCCCTGTCTGCAGAAGCTACATCAACAATATTTATTCCTATATAGACTTTCGATTTCGTAATTGTTCCATCAAAATTAATTGTCACGAGCCTGGGTCGGATTGGGGGGCTGTACCCTCGCCCGGCATACAGGTGCGGACGTCAGTTTGATTATGAACCTGGTCTTTTAGGTGCAAATGATTGTAAAAACCACGCATTGGGGGAAATCTGTGAGAGCGACGCCCCACGTTCGTTAGCACGAAAAAAAGTCTCGTCAGAGACTGAGCTCCAAGCTAGTTTTTTCCATTTTGTTTTTCCACTTGGACCGTGGAACAAAGGGTAGCTCACTAGGTGAAAACATGTAGCCCTGAGTTTTAGTAACGATGTACGTGAAGGCATATGCTGTCTGTTTCCATCGTGTCATACAGGTAATGAGCAAGGGAAAGGCTGATAGTGTGTCGTTACTCTATCACTTGTGGTACACGGGTCCTTGGCTGTATGGAAATGCTCACCGCATAGCTTGAGGCTGACCTGGGAGAAGCTTCAGAGACGAACAGATCTGGATACCTTGACAGAAAAGAGGATTAATGTATTCAAAGTGAATGCTTGACCCACGTCAAACGCCGTCTTCGACATTACTTCAGCGCTTCTCAATGACTACAACACTTTTACGATATGAGACAGCCGCCACAAAACCACATTTTGCATCAATTACAGTTTTTGCCACCACTACTTGGATAAATTATCCAACTATTACACATTAAACGCAAGCATTAACATGTACTTCCCCATCCAAATAACCCCGAATTTTGCATCAGAGCTCTACATTCGATCGAATACCACCACACCGACACAGCCGGCCGGTCAGCGCTATCTTGCACCCATTATGGTCGGCACACTTGGAGCCTTGATTTCGTGGGGTTTTGCTATTCTACGAGAAGAATTTGCTGTATATACCAGCGAGCCTCGGCCGCACGATGGAAGGTTCTGGATAATATAAGGGGTTCTCTATTCAGTATGTGGTGTATAGTATGAGCAGGAATTTCTGGGAACGTCATCGAGAAAGTGGTACAACTTGCAAAGGAAAGTTGGGTATCGATACGGTTGGATGTTGTATCTCCCTAGACAAGAAATGCTCCGGAGCAATCGGCGGGAAATGTGCTGTCGCTTATGTTGTATCGGTATGCCTCCCGCACTTCAACTACGAAACGAAACAGTCAGTAAATTCTCCTCTGCAGGTACTCTGCAGCATTCCACCCGAAATCTGACTGAAGAGACACGACTCTTCTCTCGCCAACAGGCAATAGTTTGTCGTATGCACTAGTGTTGTTTCGATGATGTCGTGCGTGGTCCTGCGGTGGGGCGTTCCGCGCTTTTGCACATCCCGCACCCCACAGTGTCGATCAACCCACCTCCCGAGCTTGAAGTCTTCAACGTCCGGAATAGGTGGGTGTTCTCAAAACAGTTTAATGAAACACCCAAACCCCCGAAGGTCTCTCTGGTCTCTTTGAATCGTGTGTTCTCATACCATGTGTTCCGCCGGGGAAGGGTACGAGAAGATCCTTCTCATTGTCTAACAACAACCCACCAAGTCAGACGCGGCTGGTAGTTAATTCAGGAACACGCCGTGGACCCGAATCGTGCCGGCCGGAGTCGTCCTCAAACGTAGCGCGCTGCGCCGAAAACTGGAGATGGCGTTGGGGCGCATGCAGCCAGCACAGGCCGTGCGACGATGGGCGGTGGTTGCTGTGGAAACGAGTACGCCCAAACACGCGCCCACGCTGCCGGACCCTCCGCCGCAACGTTCGCTCTGGAACTACGGTTAGCATTGCAAGCATACAATTCGCATTTTTCTCGAGATTATCCACTATCCCATCGCTCCGTTGACCACACCATAAAGCTGCGGGGTCCACTGGCGCAAGAAACGCGCAAAACAACACGGCATAAGCCATGGATACACCAGGCGGACATGCGCCGTACGGGCGCCCGCCTGCGTACGACGACGATGAGCCGTCGCCGAGCCATCTGCAAGGAGGCTCAACGATGCGCTTGTTGACCCACGCCGACGATACACAAAGCTATGTGTCGTGAGTATCACTCTTCTCCTACATTCCTCTTCTTTACTTCCCAAACTCATTCCGTACTGCGCTCGCAGAAGACCCCAAGACCGAGAATCAGCTTCGCTGCTATCGACCATGGGCAGCACCGCTGGCACGCTGGGCGACAAGCTCACGCGCTCCCAAGTTGGCGTGCACGCCGATGCTGAGGCGGGTCTCGTCGACTTCTTGCGCGAGGCCAACGCGGCGCTGAGCTCGACTTCGCATGCGACCTCGAACCCGGTGCCGCAGACGCTGAAGCGCAAGTCGATCAAGACGCGGCTCGTGGACCACCTGTCACCTACGAAGAAGGAACCAGGCTTACCGTTGTATGACACCCGCAGGCCACCATCGCCCGTGGCTCGATCCTATCAGCCCTCGATGTCCTCCTTACCACTCTCTAGGGCGCCTTCAGTGCTCGACACTGCGCCGAACATGCCTCCTCCCGGCGAGGACTCCCCCTCCTACGTACCTTACCGACGCCCATACTCCCCCGACCGTGTCCCCGGTCGCCCGTACTCACCCACACGCACATCGGCAGACTACGCTCGCCCGCCAGCGTCGTCCAACATGTACGAACCGCCAGATCTCAATGGCAGTCCACGACCGGGCACGCCGTCCTCAAGATACGGCGGCGAGCGACCAGGCAGCCCTAAGCGGCCGCTGCCTCCAGCACCACTCTTCGCCGGTGGCAGGCCCATCTCGCGCGACTCTAATGCAACCCTGGACATGAGCTCGATACCCATCGACCATGATGATCCATTCACCGAGTACGGCGACGACCGCCCGGAGCTGAACTCAAGAGACTCGTACATGACCGAGGAGACCATCACAGACGACTACACAGACATGGACGAGAAGATGGACCACTACGGCCCGGCGCCTGAGACCGCACAGCCGAGACGCGGAGCCCGAGACGCTGTCATGACGACGAAAGAAGTCCGTCTTATCAACGGTGAGCTCATTCTAGAGTGTAAGATCCCGACCATCTTGTACAGTTTTCTGCCGCGGCGCGACGACATTGAGTTCACGCACATGCGGTACACGGCTGTGACTTGCGACCCCGACGACTTTGTGGATAGAGGGTACAAGCTGCGACAGAACATTGGTGCCCCCCGTGAGACGGAGCTCTTCATTTGTGTCACCATGTACAACGAGAACGAAATCGACTTCACCCGGACGATGCATGGAGTCATGCGCAACATCAGCCATTTCTGCTCTCGAACAAAGTCACGTACTTGGGGCAAGGATGGGTGGCAAAAGATTGTTGTCTGCATCATCTCAGATGGTCGTCAGAAGGTGCACCCGCGGACACTGGACGCTCTCGCTGCCATGGGCTGCTTCCAGAAGGGCATCGCCAAAAACCACGTCAATCAGCGCGAGGTCACTGCGCACGTCTACGAGTACACAACCCAGGTCTCTCTAGACTCCGATCTTAAGTTTAAGGGAGCTGAGAAAGGCATTGTTCCTGTACAAATGATCTTTTGCATGAAGGAGCGCAACCAGAAGAAACTCAACTCGCATCGATGGTTCTTCAATGCTTTCGGACGAGCCCTCAACCCTAATGTCTGCATTCTGCTTGACGTTGGAACGAAGCCTGGACCAAAGGCATTGTACCATCTCTGGAAGACATTCGACAACGACTCCTCGGTTGCCGGTGCTGCCGGCGAAATTAAAGCAGGTAAAGGGAAAGGTTGGCTCGGTCTGCTCAATCCTTTGGTCGCTTCGCAAAATTTCGAGTACAAGATGTCCAATATTCTAGACAAACCGCTCGAATCCGTCTTTGGATACATCACTGTCTTGCCAGGTGCGTTATCGGCGTATCGGTACATCGCCCTGCAAAATGACCATACCGGCCACGGTCCATTAAGTCAGTACTTCAAGGGTGAAACATTGCATGGTCAAGATGCAGATGTCTTTACTGCGAACATGTACCTCGCCGAAGATCGTATCCTATGTTGGGAGTTGGTGGCAAAGCGGAGCGAGCAGTGGGTCTTGAAATATGTCAAGGCAGCCACTGGCGAGACCGATGTGCCTGGTAAGTTGCCCCATGATCTGATTTAAAACTGAGTCTATAATAACATTTGTAGATACTGTGCCCGAGTTCATCTCACAGCGTCGTCGTTGGCTCAACGGTGCCTTCTTCGCTGCTGTCTACTCATTACTCCACTTCAAGCAAGTCTGGGCGACAGACCATACTATTTGGCGCAAGATCCTGCTTCACATCGAATTCGTGTACCAATTCGTTCAGCTCATGTTCACCTTCTTCTCTCTGGCCAACTTCTACCTCACTTTCTTCTTCATCGCTGGATCGCTCAGCGATAAGAATTACGATCCTTTTGGTCATAACATCGCAAAGTACATCTTCGTCTTTCTACGGTACACGTGTGTGCTCCTGATCTGCATGCAATTCATCCTTTCCATGGGCAATCGTCCGCAAGGAGCCAGGAAGATGTTCTTGTGGAGTATGGTCGCATACTGTGTCATCATGGCGTACACCACATTCGCCTCCATCCTCATCGTCGTCAAGCAGCTGCGAGATCCGAAACAACCAAAGACACTCGGCAACAACGTCTTCACCAATCTGATCATCTCAACCGCAACAACCGTCGGCCTGTACTTCTTCATGTCTTTTATGTACCTGGATCCCTGGCACATGTTCACCTCTTCAGCGCAGTACTTCGCCCTTCTCCCCAGCTACATCTGCACACTCCAAGTCTACGCCTTCTGCAACACCCACGACATCACCTGGGGCACAAAAGGTGACAACGTGGCCAAAACGGACCTGGGCGACGCCAAAGCCAAGAAGGGCAACGTCGTCGAGCTCGAGATGCCTTCCGAACAACTCGATATTGACTCTGGCTACGACGAGGCTCTCCGCAACCTGCGCGACCGCATCGAAGTCCCCGAGAAAGGGCTCGACGAGGCCCAAGCCCAGGAAGACTACTACCGTGCCGTGCGCACATACATGGTCGTTGTGTGGCTCATATCGAACGCGATCCTCGCGATGGCCGTGTCCGAGGCGTACGGCGGGCAGCACATCAGCTCCAACTTCTACCTCAAGTTCATCTTGTGGGCGGTCGCGGGGCTCGCCTTCTTCCGCGCGGTCGGGTCGACGAGCTTCCTCATCATCAACAGCATCCATTCCATCATGGAGACGAAGCTCAAGTGGGAAGACAAGATGGAGAGCAAGTCCGCTTTGAGCAGCGGGAAGAAGCGGTTTGGCAAGGGCTGGGGGAATGGCGGCGGGAGTTGGTGGAGTGGCAGCCAGATTAGCAGCAAGGTTAGTAGTTGGGCGCCGAGCTCGTGGGGTGGGAGCAGCCTGGGGAAGTGAGTGCAAGCATGGCAAGAGAGAAGTCTTTGGACGGGTTTGTATAGCGCTTTTTTGTTACGATTCATGAGGCGTTGGGATAGGGTTGGTGTGATACCTCGACGTTGGGGCTTGTATATGCGTGCGCGTCGCACGTGGATTCTGTGTATTGCGCGCATGGGGAGAAGACAGCGGTGGCGGACTATAGCTGAGTGGAGAGACGCTGCTGCGCCGAGGGGAACCGCCGGAGGGAACCAAAAAGCACGAAGTTATGTAGAATGGTAATGTTTTGGTAATGGGAAACTGATCTGGCTCTTGTATCATCTCCTCTCCTGCAATTCGTGCATGTTGATCGCTGCTGCTCATTGCCATGGCATATTTCTTGCCAGCGGACATGTCGTCATGCTCAGAGTCTCTCCTTCTACCAGCAGAGAAGCCTACAGCACAGACACAACCCTTGAAACATTCCTCCGATCGCGAAGACTAGAACGATGATGAATACAGATGCGGGCGGCCCAGCGAGAGCAAGGAAGATGCCGCATGTTGGTGCTGGTATCAGTACTGGTATGGCGGGCGTTGTAGTGTGGATGGTAATGTACACAGTTAGGCTTTGGTTTGATGTTGGAGGCGGATATTGTGCCGTAAGATATACGGGTGTGAAGAAGGGAGAATAGAGAGGGCAAATGTGCTATATATGCATTCTCGAAGATCGATCTCGCATTGCGGCGGGCGAGGGCTTCTTGTGAAGGCGGGACGTCGCACCTACCCCACGGGGGTCTGCTGTGCATGTGCATGGTGCCGGTGAGTACTCTGCCATCATCGTGGAAGTTGTATAGACAGCATGTCTCGCTTAAGATGACATTGGGATGGTCAACGACTGGTGGGTCTGATCTAAATTGACGGTGCCCGTGGTCTGGTGCGTACGGAAAAGCCGCACGTAGCTCCCGTAGTGACAGCTGCCAGGTCCCCTCGCGCCGGGATCCTTAGACTGGATGAGGGGGGAAGCGTGTGGGACATTGAGGGACGGGCCTTAGTGGTGCGGTATCGGCGTGTTTAATGATCAGGTAGTAGGCTCAGGGTACCAAAATACCAAGAGGAGGGCGAAATGGGAGCTCTTGGTCTCGTCGAAGTCGTCCTAGAGAAGCATGAGATGATTGGAGAGAGATGGAAGTATCTTGGTGATAGTCGAGATGTGCTCGAACGCGATTGTAGCTGGAAAGCGAATTATAAGCTTCACAAATCTAGTTTGCTGTGTGTAGTCCATGTAGAAGTGATCGTACTAGTTGACTGTTTGGTTGACAGGCGGCGGTGGATCGCCGTTGACTTCCGCGCCCATGGTACGACAACTGTCAAACGCCAGTCACAGACAACGGTCTCCACACACTGAGAGGCCGTGCGTATGCTAGGCATGAGTAGCATTGTCCGTGATCATGTACATCGAACGTACCTCGAACAGTGCGCTGAGATACCCTATGATAGCATTTCCGATGTCAAAGTCTGGTCCAGCATCCAATGCACATGCTACTCACATCGCGTCTTCAACAGGTAGTCCTGGGTATTTCGTTCCGAAAGTCGCAGCTTGTGAGAGAATAGCGCGCACGATGCAGGCTACATAAGACGTCCCAGCCGTGTTTCCACTTTCTTCGCCAGAAACGATCATCTCCATCTACTTCGATTCCTTTTTGTATTCGTGAAATGGGCATTACCATCATCGGCGTCCTCGCCTTCGCAGGCATAGCAGTCAGTTCACCCCTTGTATCCGGGCCAGGATGTAAGTAGCACAGTCTCAGTGCCCTCTAACGGGTCGACGCTGATGTGTCAACCTCTCGCACTCAACAGAAGCATCACTGACATACAGTCCAGTCCTCCCTGTACAAAAGAGTGATAGCTCCTCTATCAATATCCTTCCATTCGTTGCATCATCGCCCACGCCCGTTGCCCTTGTCGACCACCGACCCCGCATCAAAGTGACTATCAACCCTACTTCCCAGACCCCAAATCTCCCCACCTGGTGGCCCGTGGATTCGAAGGTCCATGTCGTTGTCCCTACTTCGACTTCGACGACATCTACTACCTCTACGAGCGTTGAGGTTAGTGCGCTGGTTGGGGTCGTGGCTCCGTCCCCGACCACCACGTCGTCCACCACTGTTGCTGTGGTGGTGGCTTTGTCGACGAGCTCGAACTCTTCGGCTGTTGTTGTTGTGCAGCCATCTGCGGCACTTACGCTCAGTGCCACATTTGGCTCGCCGACGGCAGCCACGTCCGGAGCAACCGCGACGCCAGCCGCAGCTACTTCTTCTGCATCGTCCAGCTCATCCTCGGGGGATCCGCTCGTAGTCGTTCCACCACCTCTGTCTCCACTGCCGATCGTCTCTTCTTCCTCGGCTTTGGCCACGCCCGTAGTGGTTATGACACCAACTACTGTGTCCACTTCCACTACACTGCCTTCGACTGCGTTTTCCACCTCCGACGACTTCCTCTTCACCCCGGATCGACTAACCACAACTGTCACGCCAACGTCCACGTCGACTACTACCTCGGTGACGACTATAACCTCGACGTCGACAACGACGACGATGCCAACAACAAGTGTTTCAACCACAGAAACCTCGAGTGATCCCGCCGCTACTCTGGCGCTCACTTTCAACGCGCTCGCCGAGAAGGTCAAGTTCCACGATGAACAGATCGAGAATCTAGCATGGGTCGCCGCGATTGACAATGAGCGTGTGTCTGACCGTTTGGATGAGGCTATCGGGGCTCTAGAGAAGCTTGCAAACCAGACCACAGACGGTTTTTACAAGTACAAAGATAGTATCGAGGAGCTGGCTAACCAGGTCGAGTGGAAATTCGACGTGGTTTACCGAGCTATTAACGTTACAAATCTTCTCGAAGGCCAGGATTTGGAAACAACGCGTAAAGGTATCAAGAATTCGAGGCAGAGGGTCTGGGACCTCGAACTCCTTACCGAACGTGTAGAATATCTGGAGACCGAGAACGACAAGTGGAACCATGAGGGAGGGCACGACCCGGTGGATGCGCGCTTGGAGGCTCTCGAGGAGCAAAACGCTTACTTGAAGCAGAAGCTCGAGGACCTCCTGGGCGCTGAGAAGGATGCTCCCGAGCGGGCTGAGGACCACACCGAGGAGGAAGTCTATGAGTAGAAGCGAGCAGAAGAGCAGACCTCCTCGCCGAGCTGGTTCGAAGGTGTGTGGAACGGTGAGGCCTCCAAAAAACATTGAGTTCGCTCTACCATGGTTGCCCGCATGTAGTTTGGCCAGATAGAGGCGGTTCAGCCGGCAGAAGCAACGGATCTGTTTTTTTTTGTTGACGTTGCCATTCACACTTTCTCGCGGCACTTGCAATGATTTATCCCGAATGGTCTTTTTGTTGACCCGTTTCTGTTGACGAAGCCGTTACTTGCTGAACCGATCGTCTGTACGCCGTTTCTTGCGGTCCCAAGTTTATAGTGATACTCCGCACCCAGCGTGTTTGAAGTGAGGAGATATAATGGAGCGTGTACTGCTCACTGCAACGGGATTCGATTATAGACTATGTAGCTAGTGAGGTCGACACTCTCTCGACGACGACCCATATCGCAGCTGATCTGAGTATTGCGCCACGGAGTGAGGATTCGAGAGCTGCGCTCAGAATTCCTCCACGATGGGTCGCTTGCTGGCGGTATGGGCAAACGGTGGATTTTTATGAAATTTCCGAAAGCTCCAGCATAAGTGCTCGAGACATCTGAGTTGCTAGCTCTTTTTACCAGCGATCATCGGATTTCCGTGCTTTCCAGTTCCTATTGCAGCTCACAATGTCATCAAGACCTGGTGTAGGCAGCTCTTGCCGTCCACGGCGTTCGAGAAGCGCATCAGGTGTGGCGGTGAAAGTCGTGCACGTTCCAGGGCGTCTGGAGCAGGCGCCTGCCTGCACCTGATCCCAATGACGCAGCTATCTAGCGGGCTGCACGGGCCTCTTGCCCCAGCCGCCCCAGCATCACGACTGCGCTATCGCTGCGGCAACTCAGACGTCTGCTCCAGTCCTCGACAGCTGCACGTCCCGGTCCTGCAGCTCTACACACCCTACACATTTTCTCCTCTTGCGCATCGTCGAGCGCACTACCGTAGCCATGAAGGTCTCCGCTGTTCTCATCGCTGCCTCCAGCGCTGTATCAGTCTCGGCAGCCGCGACCTGGATGACAGGCGGCAACCAGGCCGTGATCAACGAGGCATTCAAGGTTCCGGGCGACAACCCTCTGTACTTCTGCGAAGACCCCAAGGACTACATCCTGGATATCGAGAATGTCGACCTGGACCCCAACCCACCTCTACCGTACGTCTCACGATCTTAAGCTACGACATACATGCTCCACTTTTGGGCAGCTTCGGGGACCTGAGCTAACATATTGATTGCAGGGGCCAGACTCTCAGCATCACCGCCAAGGGTGACTTTAGCAAGGAGATCGAGGAGGGTTCCAAGATGCACCTCACAGTCCGCTACAACAACCTGATTACCCTGATCAATCAGGACGCCGACACTTGCGAGACGGTCAAAAAGGCCGACTTGGAATGCCCGCTGAAGAAGGGCGAGATGAAGCTCACCAAGGATGTCGACCTTCCCCAGCAGATCCCTCCGGTAGGCTTCCCATGCACATGACAGCAGAAGCCAGTGCTAACAACCGTGACAGGGCAAGTACAACGTCAAGGCCGATGTCAAGACCAAGGACGGCGATGCTATCACCTGCCTCACCGCCGAAATCAGCTTCCACCGGTAAAGACTCCACGGCGGCGGCCCTGCCCTCGATGCGAACGAGGCGTCTCTGAACGCTTTCCAGATCTGTGCAAGTAGGAAAACGACACTTTCAAATGTCTGGATTGGGTGTAAATATCGTGCAGAACCGGTTGCGGAACGAGCTTTGAATTCGATGCTACTGGGTTTGACAATGTGGACGAAGTTGCGAAGGGAACATGTTCCGGTCGGTCTAGGCCGAGCTTGCATTCGAGCCGAGCGAGATATCCATTGTCTGTCGTTTTTCTGGTGGATTTGGGGAAGGTAATCGCTGTGTATCAGTCATGCTGTCATGAGATTATGGAACTTGATTTCGTTCATGCAGAATTGGATATCTCAAATCGTGATATAACTCGCGTACAGATGCAGGGCCGTGTTTGACCACCCACTAGACCTCGGCCTCCACTTGATCTGCGTCTCCTCTCCAAATAGCCTTCGCACACGCTTGATATGCGTCTACTCTCCAAACAGCCTTCGCACCCGCTTGAGCACGCTGTCCTTATCAGGGTCGTACGGGTGGTCTTTGGACGGTATCTCGAGCAGTGATGGAAAGGCGGCCGTGTACATCTCAACTCGATGCCTTATTCGCTCCGCAATCTGCTCTGGTTAGCGGCCAATCTCTCGTCCCAGCTTCCTCCAGCAGTATCATACATGTTGGTTGATCAGCAGAATGGCGATATCTTTGCGCTCCTGCGTAAAGCGATCGAATGCAGCCTCGATGTCGGCGTTCTGCGTCTTCGCATCCACCACAAGAAAGTTCTTTTGTGAGTCCGGCGGCTGGGTGACGTGCTGCGCATCTCTTTAGTGCTGAATCCTGCACAAAGCAGTAAAGAAGCTTACGCCGACGCCTGCGAGCAGCATGCCTGTGACGGTATCCTGGGAGCTGTTAGCAAAACATTCGCACAGCGTTTTCGAATGGCATACCTCATCGCCAATTACGGCGAGGAACTGGCGGTCCTTGTATGCGGCCGTAGAAGCCGACATGGTGGTGTGGGTGGGGATTCACTGCTGTACGGGCAGCTTGGAGAGGCCTGGGCGCGGGCGGCAGCTACCGTCGTCATGGGCGGGTAGCAGCTTCCTGCGGAACATTGTTGTTCCGCGCTTGCTTGTTTATGGCCATTGCTCTTTCTTTCACGGCTTCTCCAGACATCGCGGCGCGCCATGCCGTGAGTCCAGCTTTTCTCTTGTATTTAATACCTTAATCTGTCCGCCTAAATACTTGCCCACCTGGACTATTGTCCGTAGCTCGCCGACTCTGCACCCAGCAAGATGCCACCCCGCGAACGCCTCGTCCGCAAGGCGCCGCTCATGGAGCGTGTGCGGGCGTACCTCGACTTCCACGACTGGCTACTGTGGATTTCGGAAGAGCTTAATACGAACGACTGGGAGGACTTCGCCAAAGACTACGCCTTTATCATCGGCTTCGTCTTCAACTTGGTCTACATCGTTGCGCAGGCGAATACCGCTAGCGGTCCCCGCAACGACGACATACTGCTGGACTCAGTCAGCGGACCCGGATGGTTTACATGGTTCTCGAGGCTCGCAGTGACGGCTCTGTCAATCGTAGCTTTCTTGAACGGCTTCCTCACGTTTAACAAGAAGCGACACTACCGCCTGTTTGAGCAGCCCATCGAAACGGCTCCGTCCACGCCATCTGCACACCGAGTGCGAGTCGATTCTTCGCCGGCCGCTGTAACCCCGTTGCGCTACTTCCAGAATCTTCTGGGCTCTGCTTCTGCCGACTCGCGCGCTCACCCCGATGCTGGCAGAGATGTGTGGGAAATCTCAGTCTGGGACCCCAATCCGCTTTGTCTCGACATGTTCTGTCTTTTCAGTCCCCTACACGTCGTCCTGTACTGGCTCAACCTGCCAGTGCCGCCTATGGATCAGCAGCCCAGCATTCGGGTGGTCACCACCATCGCCGTCGGCGCTTTCCTTTCTTTTTCACAGTGGTACTTGAAATCCTCCTTTGCGAATCAGATCCGCGACAACGGCGTAATTCAGCGCGAGGTACTCCATGAGTACGACAACAAGTTTGTCCACCCGTCGACACAGAAACTATACCGTGACGTCGGCATCCAAGCCATCTCCAAGAACCGATCTCGCGACTCCAGCGTCGGCGTCCGCGGCAGCAGTGACGACCTCGCCTCACAAATCACCACATATACCCCGACGACCATCATTAACCGCACTTTCCGAACAAACCCGAACCCCGTGTACGCCTCGCAGTACGACCCGGACAACCTACGCTCGACGACCCTCACACCATCCGCCAGACCCTACTCCAACGCGAACTACTCCACCACATCTACCGCAACCGGCGCCGACTTCTCCTCGCCCATCCGACCCTCTCACACGCCGAACCCCTTCCGCCAGTCGCAAGCACAGCCGCAATTCCGCCCATCCAACAACAGCGGCGACGGAGGTAGCCTCGGCGTCTTCTCACACGCGAACTCGCCGCTGCGAAAATCAGCCTCTACAAACTTCGTGCGCGACCGCGATGATAGAGGCCGCGATAGTCTTGTAGGTCACGGCGTGGAGCGGAGAACAGGGACCCCTGCGCGCAGGGAAGGCAGCCCGCTGAAGCGCGTAAGCATGCCCGGTGCGGGGTTGAAGGCGAGTGGGGGTGAGAGTGTGGGTAGTGCGGCGGACAGGTTTGCGAGGTGGAACGGGGGCGCGGGGAGTATGAGGAGGGAGAGTGGGCGGTTTTAGCGTGCCAAGAGGAGGGAGAAGAAGAAGAAGAAGAAGAAGAAGAAGAAGAAGAAGAAGAAGAAGAAGAAGAAGAAGAAGAAGAAGAAGAAGAAGAAGAAGAAGAAGAAGA